ACTACCGTTACCATATTCCAAAGATTACCCACTTTTGTTCCATAAAGTTCTAGCATAAGCGTAATCGGAAGCATTTGTAGAAAAAAATGTTGAGTTACAAAAAAAAAAAAAAAAAATGCCTTTACTTTGCAAAAAAAATGGCGTCCAAACAAAAACTAGCACGTTGCTGTAGCAGGGTTGGTCGCCAAAAAATCACCAAGTTACCATAATCCAAAGATTAACCATGCTTTTTTCTGAGAAAAAGGCAGGAAGCCTGGAAACATTTAAAAACATCTTTAACACAAATTAATGGTAACTGCCTCTTTGTTTTATGCCAATTTATTATTTTGAACTTATCGGTTTGGTTTACTTTATTGTGGCAAAGCACACTAGAGCTATCTGCCTAAGGGAAAGGATGTCATCATGGAGGACTTTCAGAAAGCAACTGCCTTATGTGTAAGTTACACATGAGAAAAACCATGAAACGTCCATGCAGCCAGCCCGTTCGCCTGGAATATAACCCCGGTTGGAAATACCAGTGTTCAGCGATTTTACCGCTCAGCCGCTGACAACCTACTTTCAAGTTATAAATATTTCGGTATTCTATATAATCTACTATTTTTACTAATTTTTTTAGATGGTGCCACTAATATTAGATGATGTTTTAATTACTTTCTATTCTTGCCATTTTATTGCATGTTTGAGTATGAAAGCAATTGAATTTTTTATTTTACAAAGCTATTATTACTGGATTATTTAAATTTTTATTATATGAATTACTGTTTTTCTTCCATATACACAATTTGTTATGGGTTAAAACACATCACAGAACTGCAAAAACTCAGCATTTGCACATATTAAACATTACATATATTATATATGTAACTGTTTTTCTTTCCCTGCACAATGCAATCTATTTTCATTTAAAAACATAACAGAACTGCAAAAACTCAGCATTGCGCAGTGTTGACACTGCACACATTAACCCTCTGAGATATGAATCAAAATTATAGATTAAACTATAAACATTAATTCTTCCTCTCTATTCTAAAATCGTAGTAACTTATCTGCATGCGTCATTCGATTAATCAGTGCGATTGTACATACCGTTAAAACAGATGCCTCTTGAATCAATCACTGAATGTAAACCAAAACTTTTCTCGCCGGCTTCATGGCTAAACTACGCACTTCGCTTTGCTCTTACTCTGCTAAGATGTAATTCGCGGGCTTGCTTTGCTCCCAACAATATCAAAAAATGAAATCTTCTGTGGAAGGCACGACTAGAGTGCCAAGTGATTGTGCACAAAATATCAATTGGAAAAAAAAATGAATTAACACTGCTCGATGCCAGTTCTTAAATACTAAGCAATTCAAAATCTTCAAATGGATCTAAGCAAGCTCACGTGTTCCGACAGTTCCTTTTCTTTTTGTTATGACAATTAAGCCGGTAGGATGTTTCCTACTGGGCCTCAATGGAAATTTAGTTGCTCTCAATCATCGTTTGTGATCAATCCAATAATTGAAAAACAGTGAATCTCAATTGTTTTTCAGTGTTTAAAAAATAACAGATAATTTTCTGCTGTCGGTTTTGCAGTGCTTCAAAAAAAATAAAACGCCGTGTGTTTAAGATTGAAAGTAATTACGATAATTGAGAAGTTCGAATGCCTAGTGAAAAGGAATATTGAATTTGCTTCGCCGATTCTAAATATTTAGAAAAAAAAAGTGCTTTAATCATAGTGAATTACGTTTTCGGAATTCTGCATTTACAGCGAGTTCAAGGTCGATCGAGTTGGGTTTGCAAGTAGTGCGACAGAAAATTACTATTGCACTCGCTTTTGCAAACAGCTCAAAATTATTACATCTTGTGAATCTAGCTCAGAACTAAATATTAATGTGCTGTGGTTCGATGTTTTTTTCAACTTGTTTAAAATTTCTGCAATTTGTTTATAAAATCTAAAATCTTGTTCATAAAATTTCTAAGTTTCATAATTATGTGTGCGGCAAATTAAGTAACGAATTTAGTATTTAAATTATCATGGGAAGGATATAACATAGTTTTTGTTTTTGAAATTTGTGAGAAATATTTGAATACGAATTTTATAATTCTTCTAAAAATAAAGAGTGTTAAAAAAAAGTGAAATTAGTACAGATAAGAAATGAAATTATGGTAAAGCATGTTAACATTATGATTGTAGTTAAGATAGTGTATGTCGGAGAGAGTACTGGGTTTCTAAGCAGAGGCCTGTAATTACCTGTAAGTAGCTCTTCACCCTTCACGTAAGATATTGTTGAAGGCTCTCATTTATGATGCATGAAATATTATATTATTATATATTTTATTATGAATGTATTAGTGCAGTTCCAAGGCAGGTACTTAATGCAAGGAACGGAGGCTTTCAAGTAAACTGTCTACCACCTGGGCCACCAGTGCAGAGGACACACTGGTAGCTCAAGAGGACAGCCCTTTGATGAGTTTGTTAGAAGTATTGCGAGGCTCCCAGTTGGTAAATACAGGAATTGTAAATGAAAGATGATAACGGTTGAAAATGAAAAACCAAAATCTGAAATCTTAATCCTATTATTTATGTGTTTAAATATAACTATCAGTATAAAAAATAAGTATCATAAATATTTAGGTGCTTGCACTTAATATAGTAATGATTATCTAAAGTTTCTTTTGTGGATTCTGTAATACAAGAAATTCCTGAGAATTGATTATTGAACTTCAAACAAGACTTTGGCCTGAAATGTGAAAAAAATGCAATAGGATATAAAAATTAAAAAATTTCTTTAAAAAAAATTATATTTTTAAGTTATACTTTATAGAATACTTTATAGAATCAAAATTTTATGATTTATGTTTTTCTTTTTTCTTTGTAGTGCTTAACTTCTCTTTAAAAAGGCTTCTCTGTCGCTACGCCTTTTCTTTTGAAGGGGGTAAGATGTAAGAAAAAATATATAATCAAAATTATAGAGAAACTATAAACATTAATTTTCCTCTCTATTCTAAATCGTAGTAACTTATGCATGCGTCATTCAGATTATCATGCGATCTTAGTAAAGTTAATACCAGATCCTCTGAAAACCAACACTGAATTGTAAACCAAAAACTTTTCTCTTCGCGTGCTTCATCTTGTATAACTACGCACTTCAGCTTTGCTCTTTACTCTGCTAGATGTAATTTCGCTGGCTTGCTTCGATCCCAACAATATCAAAAATGTAATCTTCTGTGGAAAGGCACGACTAGAGTGCAAGTGATTGTGGCCACAAATATTCAATTGGAAATAAAAATGGAATTAAAACTGCCTCGACTGCCAAGTTCTTTAAATACTAAGCAATCAAAATTCTTCTTCAATATGGATCTAAGCAAGCATCTACAGTGTTCCGACAGTTTCCTTTTTCTTTTGTTATGACATATACGTTCTTACAGATATCACAAAAAATATTATAGCAAATATACCATTTAACCCTCTAAGCGGCAAGGCCGTATATGCCGCTTAGAGGGTTAAATGGTACTCTTCTGATATCGGGACTGGTTTAAGAAATATACATCTGTATGCATGTGCACATGTACGTATATGTGTATGCACAAATATACATATGCACATACATCAGTGGCGTAGCTAGGGTGGGGCAAGAGGGGACATCTGTCCACGGGCGCAGCATCCATGGGGCAACAAATTGATGCTACAAAATTTTTTAATGAAATGTTTTCCATTCTTGGTACACAGAAAAGGGCGCAAATTCTTCAGTTGTTCCCGGGTGATGGAAACTCTAGCTACGCCACTGACACACATGTATACAAGAACACATACATACATTTCTGAATCCGGTCCCGACAATAGAAGCGTACCCATTAAACATTACATAAACTTCAGTTATCCCTCCCTCCAAAAAAAAAAAAAAAAAAAAAAAAAAAAGAAAAAAAAAAAAAAAAAAAAAAAAAAAAAAAAAAAAAGTAAGGCTGCCACAATAAAATCATTTTGAAACACCCAAAAGGTGGACTTACTAGAAAAAATCATTATCTAACAAGGAAAACGTCAAAGTTGGTATGCCCCTTATACTTCCCTTTAGCCCACTGAAATTTTCAATAGTTTGATAATTATAAAAGCGTCATAAAATTAAAAAAAAAATAGTTTTTATGCTCGAAGAACGATAAAATGATGGAAAAAATGGTAAATAAAAGCAGTAGACTAAAAACTACATGATTATCTGTTTCTCAGGAACAACTTTTTTCATAACGGAAAGGAAATGTGCGTTATTAGGCGGAAGAAAAAATTATTTGCAACCTTTTGAAAAATTTACTGAACTGATGCTAAAAACAATAGAAACAGCGAGCATTACACAATGATATTGTCACTGAAAAAGTCACATTTTCAATTTAATGACTTAGGGTTTCAGGACAGACTGCAATATTTTCACTATCAAAAGTCCCCCCAAAAGAAAACAGAAGAAAAAAAATTACATTCTTTTAATTAATTGTAATATTATTATAAATAATTATACTTCGATTTTAAATATTTACACTTTGGCTAATAATTCATTTAACTAAAACAACTGATGACTGTAACAATGCATAGAAACATATATGCACCTATTACATCAAAACGATAACAAAGCAAAAACTTTAAAGATGTTTATTTACAGGTATTCTTTGAACCTGTAGTAGAATAATATTTTTTTTTTTCTTGTTTTTGTTTACATACCTGAAACTGCATCTCGAACACTTTTTCTTTCACCTTTCTTACCACCCTTTGGCATTTTCAAAATGATCATATAAGGAAGATAGTTTACGAAATTAACTGCATATCAATTACAAAACTGAATTTATGATTTAAAAAAGAGTTTAAAAAATTAATTTTAAAATAAAATTGGGTTAGGAAATCATCCGACTCCAAAGATTTACCACCTGAGTTGGCCGCCATGGCCACGGGTGCCCGTCGCACGAAACGTAAGAGCGCTTGCGCCAAACGTCGACTTTTGGCACTGATTATTCTCGTTCTCACAACACCAGAGGTAAATTCTAAATGAAAATTAATTGTTAAATAAATAGTAAGCATTTTAAATGCAGTAAATATTACAAGTACCGAAATAAATAACTATAGAGGAAAGTATTTTAGTTATATATAATATAAAGTAGTCTTAAATCCTTATGAAAGTGATAACGTGCGAGAGTAGCTTCTGAGGATTGTGGGATAACTGAATAGTGCAGTAAGGAAAAAAATGAATTCAGGAATTCAGAGGTAGATGGTCATGAGGAAAGTGTGTATTCTTTAAACAAGTTGAGACAAGTAAAATCAAAGGCTGTCATTCAGAAGGTGTTTACTCGAAGAAGAAATTTTTTTGTCTCTGCAAATTTGCGGATCTGTAAACTTCACTATGGAAACCACTTCTTTAGCTAAAATGAAACTCGGCAATAGATGTTATTTCTTATCCATTTTTATACCTACAAACTGTTCCAAATGCCCCATAAAATATCCTTTCGTCTTAACGTAAGGTTGTGAATTTTGTATGAGAAAGTTCTATGAAATTCTTCTAATGGAAGGAAACTTACTTTTAGTGATTTGTCAGAACGTGCTGCTATGAAGTGGTTAATTTGAATTTTTGGAAAACACATTGGTAAGGCATAAGATATCTGTAAAAAATGTGGAATATGATGTGTGACGTGATGCCTACTATTGCCGAAGACAGCCTTGGGCAAAGAGGCAGTCAGTTTTCGGCAGATGAAGCAAATCTTGAACAGCTCATGGTGAATATTTTAGATGAACGTGACAAACTGTTAGAGACTTTGAGGGATACCCAAGAAAATTTGGCGAACACTCACATCAAACTAAATGATCTGAATAAAGAGAGAGATTCCCTGCACAGGCAACTGCAGGCAAATTTACCTCAGGTAAATTGCTGTGATTAATTCTAAATATTTATCATACCTAATAATTTAAATTTTCTTCTGAATATTACCGAGTGAAGTTTCTCCCATTAATTCAGTTTAGTAACTGTAAAAAAAAATCTTGAGGCATATTTTTAATAAACTTGTTTAAAACATTGTTTTGTAGAATGAATTACAGAGCTGAATCAAAAGTATTTTAAAAAATAATTGCAGTTCATCCTGTTTATTAAAGCATTTGAAACAAGATCAGCGCTTGTGGTTTAAGTTGCTGAAATTTTTGAGAATATGTATTTCCCCCCTGTTACTATAAGTTTTTACTAGCACACTGTGTTAGATCTAATTTTTTAAATTCGTCATATTGTTTAGTTTCAGTTTTTATAGGCTGTTGATAGTTTTTCCCTTGGAGTAAAAAACCTGTTATACTTAAGTTGTGCCTTTTTACACTTTTTTAACTTCTTTAGGTTGTTTTTTGGATGAATTTTAAAAACGTTTAGAAAAGTTGATGAAGGCAGAAGTTTAAAAGCATAAAATCATAAAATTTTAGCCCAAGATAGGGTATAAAATTATTTACTATTTTGTGTTTTCTTTAACTGTCTCAAATTAAACAGCTATTATTTAGCAAAATCAGTCATATAGTATATCTGTAACAGAATTAATAATGTTTTTGAGATTAAAATAATGCTAGTTCTGTTGCTAAATCAATACAGAAATAAAATACTAATCTCTCAAGTTTCTAATAAAAATGTTGCAAGCAAAAGTATTATTGCCTTCAACATTGAGAATATGGCTTTATATGTATTTTTATAGCATATATGTAATTTATCTTCAGAAGTACATCTTTTTCTCTCCCCATCTGTAATGAAATATGAATCATTTAAACAGATGTAACCTGAATTTTTTTCATTTTTTAAAAATTGACTTTAGATGTACACTATTAATATCTGATCTGTCATTCTATATTGTGATGGGCTAGTGCTGCCATCTATGTGCTTCTGCATACCAGGAAAAAAAAAGTTGAAAAGTCTGTTTTGAAAAATTGATTATATTTAAAAAAAAAAAAAAAAACTTAGTTTTAATCTGAAAAGGCTACAGTTGTGTAAATTCTCATATTACTGTTATGAATTAATTTAGCATTTTTTATAGATATACTCATTAGTAAGATAAGACTTGATAATGATGCTTGATAGACTGCAGTTTTGAAAATGGAGTGGGTATTAACTAAAACCACATGTAAATAATGGATTTTAAGAACTATGTACCTACGAGAAAAACAGTGGGTTTAAGCGATGGAACTTTTGTCATAAGTAGAACATACTTTGAAATATATGTCTTAGCCATCATAGTTTAAATAGTAGATTGTGTAAGAACTACATGATTATACCAGATGAAAACTTTAGTTTTGCTGTAAAGCATAAAGATAAAACAAAATTTCAGAAATATTTCTGAAGCATAATTTCAATAAATGTATACAATAGAACCTGTTATGGGATTTACATTTTATGAAATATGTACTGATTAAATTGCTATCATTAAAGAATAATATATATTTCCTTCTCAAAATGGCCATTGCAAAATTGGTACTATTAATTGCCAAATTTGTGGTGTGCAACTTACGTATTCTGATACGTTAGCTGCCATAGGCATTTATGGTGGCTGCTTTAACAAGAAAGTACTGAATAATTTTATTAAGAATATGTAACAGAACTTATTATCGGATTAAAAAAATTAAAGAATAAGTTCATCACCTAAATAAGGAATAAAATGCTTGGTTTAATCCTAGTATCCGGTGCACACGGGATTTGGCTACTTTTGGCAACTTTTATGATAAGCAGTAAAAACGGGACATATACGATGAGTAGTAAACGGGTATTCAAAGAATATATATAGTTATACATAGTATATACTATGTATATAGTGATAGTATATAGTGTATAGTATACTATCACTATATATACATAGATGTTCTTTTGGTAATTTTTGGTGTTGGCGATAATTTTCAAAATCGCTCCAAGGCTGCATCGTATACTAGGATTTTACCAAATGCTTAAACATTACAACTTGATTTTTAATAACCAGTTTACCAACCTAAATACATTTTAGGGAAAACAATTCTACCAAACAGGAATGGACTGGTTGTATCTCACTTTTAAGTAGAACCCTGTGAACTTGATTTAATCTGGAGAGTAGATGGTATGTTACCAAAAATGATAAGTTTTATGATTAGAGGTAGACATCTCAAAGTACACTGCCAAAAATTCATCTGTTAGATGCATATAAAGAACTAATTACTGTGCATTGTATTTTAAAGCATCAAATATGTGCTACATTGTATTTCATTTTACTTGCACCACATAAACACCAGGCGAATGATCCCTCTCATATCTTTGCCATATTAAAATAACCTAACCATATTGCAGTAAATTTTCTCTGTCTGCTCTTGTTTAACTATATCATATGTTGTTGATTGAACTGCATTTTATTATTATTATTATTAACTACTTTTATTTATACTGTATTTACATTTCATTTAAGTGTATAATTTGTCCATGCTTCTAACTGATTTTGTAATTTGTAACTTATGTCCAAAGCTTGTAATTGTTTTCATGTCTCCCATATGTCAAATTTTAGTTTATTTATACTTGATTCTTAGTTTGTTGATACATATCTCCCCACTTTCAAGTTTGATCTCTTGCTTAGTTATTCTGACTCTAAGCTCTAATCTCTTGTGCAATAATTAATTTTTTTAGGGATAACTTGGTAATATGTACATACAGGTAGGATTGGGGGAAGGGCATCAGAATGTTCATATAAATAGTGCAGCTGTCTTCCAGTTTTGTTGGAGAATGCCCTGGAGTCTCCCATCCCTCTTTCCTTACCATCAAACCACTGGTGAGGACTTTTGTTTTGCCAGTATTTTAAGCACCTCTATGTTGCCACTATACATTAACAAAAACCATGTCGTCTGTGGGATTTGAACTTGCATCCAACAATATGCAGCTAGCATTGTGAACCACTATGTCAGTCAGAACAGCTCTACTGGCTGTTACTTTAAAACAGGAAATTAAAGGTTTTCTCTGCCTTATGATTTGACTTGTAATGGGAACAAAGCTGCAGAAAAAAGCACGAGTCACTTAATCCCCTCCCTATTTTTGTTTAGCATATTTTACTTCATGGAAAGTACACAAATGAAAGAGGACTTGAATTACAGTATTAAATAATGTCGAGATAATGATTGCTGTACGGTGATAACGGCAGAAGTTATGATTGCAAATGGGGGCTGGTAAGGGCCTTGAAGTGCTTTTTTAAAGTAACAGGCTATATTAATTGGCAGTGAAACACTCCTTTACTTGTATTGCATCCTACATTCAATTTTGCCAGTAAAACCAATTTTTATACTCTCGTACAATACCATGTGTGTCAACCATATCTCTTCAAAATCCAGAATGCTGAAATTGGTGCTTCGGTCATTACTGTCTTGCTATTAGTCCAACATAACCCTGGAGAAAACATGCAACTCTGTTTTGGGAATATTTACAATTATGTCATTGAGACTATTCCCTTGGTGGTGCCAAATATTTCTACATATGTGAAGAATGAATGGAAAATATGTTATTTTGTCAAAAAATAATTATTGTGCTAGAAAGAAAAGTTATGAAAAGTATGTATCTCTAGGCAAAACAATTAAACCCTTTCAGAGAAAATTCGGTTGATCTTTGGATTATGGTAACTTGGCGATTTTTTGGCAAAAATTTGGCAACCAACTCTGCTACAGCAACCCTCTTTTTTTTTTCACCGCCATTTTGTCTTCACAAAGTAAAGACATGTTTCTTTTCTTTTTATTTACTCAACACTTTTTCCAACAATCTACTAGCCGAATTACACTTATGCTAGAAATTTTATGTAACAAAACTGTTTAATCATGACAAATATTAACTGCAAAATTGGGAAAAAGTGCACAATCGCAAACTCCTTGCGCGTTTTTCAGAATAGCACATACACATAAACAATTTACACGTCAACTTATTTTTACTTAAAAAACATCCCATAATTGCACAAAAATGGCATTGCACACATTCTTAACTTTATCCATCTACACTGCTATTTTCTCATAAATTACAAAAATTTGCACGAAAATGCAAAAAATTCTGTGAATCTTTAAACTTGGTAAAAAGCACATATATGAAATTAATTGATCGCGAAAAAGTATACAGTCAAAAGTCATTAATTTGGACACCGATAATCCGGAATGATCTATAATCCAGACCTCAAAGCTACAAACTTTCTGCGCATGCGTCACGTTGACGCATGCGCGTAAGACCTTTACGGCTGCGAATTTGCGTGTGCACGTGCGCATAATACGTTTCCGAATGCGCGTTTAATGTATAACTGATGGTATAAGCTAAGCTCTAATTATCTATTTCAGTTAATGTTGCAGATTGCGTAGTTCCTTAATCTTCGAATTGGATCCGGCTTATTATTTTTTGCAGACTGTTAGAGCAATTTTATAAAAGTAAGCTTGAACTTTTGATTATGTCAAATAGAATTTCCGATTTATATTTACTAATATGTAACGGATCTACAAAGCGAAAGTATGTTTCGGAGTCCATTAAACAAAAAGTGGAATTGCTGCAAAAAATGGATAAAGGCATATCCTTTGTTTGTCTAAACTTTAACGTTTGTTTATATAAACTTTGTTTATCTTTAACGCGGGGGGCAATGAATTGGAAGTTGATCTGTCAGCACTATCCTTATCTTCAGGGCAGATGTTTTTATTTTATTTGGCTTATAATTGCTTACTAAATGTAGTATTTCATTTTGATATACTCCGTCTTTGATATAATTTAAATCAAATGCCTCGTCATTATAATTCGCTTCCAATAGCAAAGAAAGTGACAGAGGTTATTGAAAACAAAAAAATTTCGATTGACAAATTAGTCGGTATTCTCGACACAGCAATTATAGGACTTGAACAGCGGAACTTTGTAACTGAACAAGAAATTATG